TCACTTCAAAAATGATCAAATGCGTAAGATAAACTTGTAAACCACCGCCATAAAAACTAGCAAAATTTCAAAATTTCTCAAAAATTCCTGGATGATGAAACAACTTCGGACTTTTCAGCCTCAATAACAGGCACCTCAAGCTGTGAAACTCAATACCCGGTAAGTGTTTTTCTTCGGCAGTTCAAAAGATATCAAATGCGGAAGACAAACTTGTCGAAAACCGGTCTTCAAAAATAGACTCAAGTTGGAAAAATTTTCGAAAATTCCTTGATGATGGCGCAAAATTCAAATTTACAAATTTGATTCCGATAATATATTTCTAAAAATGTCAGAACTCCTCCAAGTTTTACCTCTGGCTAAACACAAGCAGCAAATACGGAAAGAAAGCTGTAGAAAACCGCTTCTGGAAAATCAGTAATTTTCAAATATTTTTGAAAAATCCTTGGGCCACGTCCCAAAGTCGAGACTTTCAGCAATAATATCAGCGACTTTTCTCTAAAAAACTCAATGCCCCTGAAGTTTTTAGCGCAGAGTGTTCAATTGTGAGCGCAAGACAAACTTATACAATACCTCTCCCGGAAAATTAATCAAATTTTGAAAAATTATGAAAAATTGCTTGATGATGACGAAAATTCGAAACTTTGCCAATTTAAGGGATTTGACTCTATATCGCTCACTGCTCAGCATATTTATAGCTCTACTAGTTTAAAAGTTATTCTATGTGGAAGGCAAAATTGGACAAAACCGCTCTTAAAAAGGCAAACAAAATTTGAAAATTTCCCAAAAAATTCTGAACAAACGCACAAAATTCCAGCTTGCAACGTTGATAGTAGTAAGTGGGCGCTATCAAATGCAGCAAACCGCGAGTTTCTAGTAATACCGGTTCAAAAGTGATCAAATGCAGAAAACTAAATTGAACAAAACGGCTCATAAGAAATCAGTCATTTTTCAAAAATTTCTCAAAAATTATTTGGTTATGGCACAAATTGCAAACTCCGAGCATTAATTGCCGTGACACCGCTCTACAAAACATGGGGCCCCTCGAATTTTTAGCTCTACTGGTTTAAAAGATATCAAATGCGGGACCGAAAGTGATACCATCTGGCTCTAGAAAATCTACAACTTCAAAAACAACCCAAAATTTTTTTGAATATGGCCTACAAAACACACGCATAGGAAAGTTGAATCTCTGGCTGTTTTTGCAAAATCGTCAGTCTTGCATAATGTTGGTAGAAAAATCAACAAATGAATCTCCAAAATTGGGTAACAATAGCTCAGGATTGAACCTTCATTAAAAAGTAGGTACCCTCAACCCTGCTCTATAAACTTCTAAGCCCCAATTTTCTGCGCTTTTTGAAACATTTTTTAGAATTTGAAGCGCCGGAAAATGAATGAACAAAAATGATTAGAAAAACACATTAGCTCAAGCAAAGGATTAATAAAGAAAATTTCTGGAAAGATCGGGAAAACTGCATTGCTCGATCGGGAATTTGCCTGTATTTATGAAAATCGTGCCAACATGTTTTCACTTGGATGAAACACTTTGAAAGCACGATCGAATCGGCAATAAACTCAAAGTTAAGTCCAATGAATGATTGATTTCCAATCAATCAGTTTTGCGTGGAATCGAGCCTAAAATTAAACCAGGACTTTTCGATTCAAGATTCGATTATCTGATTTCGTGAATTAGTTTTATCATGAATATGTGCCGACTAGCAAGTGTCTTGGATAATTTCGCCTCAAAAAAATGACTAGAAAACAGTTCCGCAAACCCTCAAAATCTCCGGCGTTTGGACAGTGCACTTGAAGCAAAGGTATTTTTGAAAACAAGTTAATTTAAGAATGTTCAACTGAATCTGGGGACTAGAAAACACACACATTTAACGAATAATACACATATTCTATGCCACAAATCGTTCTAATGTGGGCTGGGATTATACTCGCTATATTTTACTACCATTAAAATAGATTATTGTCAAAATATTTACAGTTTTTCGGTTAAATGAGCCACCAGTTGGGCTTGGATCGCAACAATGGGAGGGAATTTTAAATTATTGGGAAATCGTTCAATATTCTAGGCAATTCCTGCCTCAAAACGCTCTGCTACTGCAACACATGTTTTTAAAGGCAAAAACGCAAATAGATCCAGTCGTGCCAATAAGTGATAGATCAAATAATTGGGATAATCTAATTTATCATTAAACCCTAAGCAAAGCCAACCATATGCAGATGAATCAACCAAAACATAATTTCCTACTAGGAGTGATTGATCGGTTAGCGATTGTTTTCAGGAAAATACCAATTTTTCGAACTCACTTTCTCTAGGTCAATGCCAGATAATTTGCTATTAATAACCAATAGGGTGTTTGTGGGTAATTTTTCGCAGTTTTTCAAACATTTCAACACCTTTATGGACGAGTGCCGATGTACATTATCGGCAATTTAATCCGAATTTTTATTTACTACCCCGAATTTTGAGGCTTTGTTGAGCAAAAAATGAGTAGTGATTGACACTCATTTGTTATTTTCCAACACGTGCCAGGGAAAATCAAATGCTCGATGTTTATTTGGCGAAATGGAAATATTTACTTATCAAGTCAAGGAAACAATCTGGGATTCTTCTTATTGTGAACGGTTTTTGATTTAAATGCCTTTGAAGTTTTCATTCGATTAGACCCGATTCAATTTTCGCGGAAAAGTGCGGGTTAATTAACAAATTTTTAATTCATTTCAGTGTTAACAATCGAATAATTTCAGCTTAAAAAAAAATTTCAATCGGCTATGGTTGAAGAGGTTTTAGGCCGTTTTCTTTTTCAAGTCGCTCCACGTTCAGGAAAACGTTGATTTTTTGAGACTGGGCCAGTATTAAACAAGTTATGAAAACAATTTGAGCTTTTTTGATGAAAATTTGATAATTTTTGCGTCCCTGGACTTTGGTACCGTCTTCCACGTGAAAAAGCAAAATATTTTAGCGCAAAAAGCATTTTTCCATTTTTGACCCTCAATTACAACGGACTTACTTTTTGAAAACGCCAAACATCAAAGAACTTTTCGACAAAAAAAGAAGTTTTTTCCAAAAAAAGTGATTTGCCTTTTTGCAAGTCTAAAGTGTACAAAGTGTCTTAATCGGACAGCGATCAATTTCGGCTGTTGGATGCGCTTGAAATTCATCTAAAGGGTGAAGAATCGAAAGATTTTGGCTCAATAAGCGTTTTCCAGGCCTCTAAACTCTAAACTAAGCTTTTAAGTGGTAAATTTTCAGTTAAGCGGAGGTAAATGTAAAAAAAAACGCTCCTGGTTCTTAAACACGTTAAAAAGTAGACTCAAAGTTAAAAATTCGACTGTTTTTTCCGCCTTCAAGCTTATCAATTTGTCGATAAAAGTGCGATGTTTTAGCGAATTTTTAAAGTTT